TTTATGTGGTGCAAAGGAATTGAACCCAGAACTTCATGCATGCTAGGCAAGCACTCTGCCACTAAGCCACATTCCCAGCCCTGCCTGGGCTGTCTTTGAATCTCAGTCCTCAGATCTCAGCCTCCAGAGTAGCCAGGATTCACTCTTAAATGTAAAATCAGAATGAAGTAGACAAAGTTACCCTTCCTGGCAAAGAGATTTCCAGCATCCAGTTGCCAGAATGAGGCCCCTATCCACTGCTGGAACAGGGCCTGGTCGGCTATTCCTGGAGCATGAGCTGGGGGCAAACTAGGCGGGGCTATCTAATCCATAACAGAAAGCCCACACGCGTGCCTGGAGTTGACTGATGTCTTCCCCACCTGACCTCTGCCTTTCTGATGAATGACTTGATTTTTCTGTGTGTAGCCAGCTTGTGTAAAACTCAGGATTTTGCTTTCTTCAGGGTCTCAACTATCTCTGGCGCCAGCCTGGTTTGGGTTGCTGGGAATAAACTCCTCCTCTCCAGAAAGTGGTCCTGATTTTTGCTGGTCTGCATGGCTGTAACAAGGAGACAATATTAATAGTGTCTCAAGTGGTAGAGTGCCCACCATGAGTGAGAGACCCTGAGTTCAAGTCCCAGTCTGGACACACACAGAAAAAAAGGGAAGGGAAAGAGGGAAGGAAGGAAAAGAGAAGAGAAAGGGTGGTAAGATCCCAAGGCGGTGGCTTTTCTTCAGGATCCTTGGTTAAGCTACAGTTTACAGGGACAAGAAAGCAGCCGAAGAGCGGCTTACGTTCAGAAAGGACTCAGGTGGGGAGTTCCAGTTCTGGTTAAAGAAAGGATTTTTGGGGGTTAATCATTACTAGCAAAACTGAAAACCACCAGAGTGAAACTGAAAACCACCAGAGTGAATGTGTGTGTCATCACTCAAAACCCCCCAAAATTCCAGCTCATAATCACTCCTGGAAATTCCCATTTATAAATAGGCAAGTCAAGAACAAATTTGTTTTCTTAAGCACATTTCTTCTTCTATGGAGAACTAGTTTCCCACACAGCTGAACTTAGTATCCGTGTGCACATGTGCACGAGGGGGGGGGGCGGGGAACAACACGACCTGGGTGGGGTTGAAAGTTCTGATCAGAGCAGCTGTCTGTCCGTGCGTGACAAAGAGCTACCACAGCTCAGCTCCTACCACTGTGCATTGTGTATGTGTGTGTCTGTCTGTCGTGGGGCCTGAACTCTGGGCCTGGGCACTGTCTCTCACTCAGCTCTTCAGCTCAAGGCTAGCGCTCTACCACTTGAGCCACAGTGCCACTTCTAGCTTTTTCTGCTTATGTGGTGCTGAAAAATGGAACCCAGGGCCTCATGCATGCCAGGCAAGCACTCTGTCACTGAGCCACCTTCCCAGCCCCCACTGTGCATTTCTGCAGCACAAACTGGTAACTCAGCACTCAGCACTAAGTTTCACTGTCATTTAGAGGGTGATTAAAGACTTCCTGAATTTAGACACAAGAAAAAGAAATCAGATACACTCTTCACCACAAAACCCATAGCAACTACATGAACCGAAGTTACAGTGACTTCCCCACCGCATGAAACTGTAGTTGGAGCCATTAAATGTCAGCTTTAGAAAGACAGCAGGAGGCTGGAAGCAGTGGCGGGAGTGGTAGAGCATCTGCCTAGCAAGCATGAGACTCTGGGTTCAAATCCCAGTACCCACAACAAAAAAAAGGGGGTGGGAGGAAAAGCAAGCTAATAAAATAAAACCAAAATAATAGGAGACAGGCTCAACACTGATGCTCAAGCCTGCAATCCCAGCTATTCAGGAGGGTAAGAGCTGAGGATCAAGATTCCAAGGTTTGAAGACACCCTTGGCAGGAGTCTATGAGACTCTTATCTCTAATTAACCACCAAAAAGTTGGGTGTGGAACTTTGGCTCAAGTTGGACACACACACACACACACACACACACACACACACACACACACGTGTGCCGGCATGCACAGGCACAAGCCTTTAGTTAAAGGATTAAGCTGTACTTCACAAAGTAACTTAGTCACAGAGACAAGTAGCAAATGACCTTGGTTTTTGTTTCTTTGTTTGCCACTGTGAAGCTGACATATGGGGATGACAGATATGGATGTCGGGTAATGAGTACATTGCTTTTTGAACTGTGTCAGCCCTCACTCATTTTATCCCAGTTTTTCCTTCCCAATCCTGTTTCTTTCTTTAACCTTCTTTTGGTGGTGGTGGGGGTAATCCTGGGGCTTGAACTCAGGCCTAGGCACTGTCCCTGAGCCTCTTTGTGTTCCAGGCAAGCATTCTACCTGTGAGCCATAGCACCCTTCTGACTTTTTCTGAGTAGCGTTTTGGAGATGACTTAGGTTGGCCTTGAACCACAATCTTCATAGTTCAGCCTCCTGAACAGCTAGGGTTACCAGCATGAGCCACCAGCACCCAACGTATTTACTGTTTTCTTGAGCCAGTTGTTTCAGTGTGCAATAAGTCAGTGTAGCTTATGTTTCCTTGATAATGAATGCTTTATCGCCTTTTGCTGCTTAGCATAAAGATTCCAAAACCTAATGCTTAAAGTGACAACCATTGCTTTAGCTCATGAGTCACGTGGCAGCTGGACAGTTCTAGTCTGGGTTGGCTCAGGTGTCTGCGTGTGTCTGTGGGCAGCTGGCAGTGGGAAAGATCTGGCACAGCTTTCCTGGCCGCTGGCACACTCATCTGGGGCTCCTGGCTTTTCCTCTGGGTGGCTGCTCAAGCTCCAGCAGGGAGCAGCTCAGATATTTGACACAGTGTCTGAAGTAAGAGAAAGCCAGCCACAATCCCAAACCTTTGCTTCTGTCACACTGACTAAATCCCTATTGGCCAATACAAATCAGAAAAGGCCCACCCAAGGGGAAAAACAAATCGTTTAAATAGGGATACAGGTGGACCCAGTGCAACAATGAGACGTACAAGTCCTTATGTCGAAAAGGAACTTTACAACTTTGGTGGGGGGGTGATGGGTTGGGAGGGGGGTCTGGGGGAGGATGGGAAGGGATAACAAAGGAGGAGGCTACAATGCTTGATAAGAAATGTACTCATGGGCTGGGATGTAGCTCAGTGGCAAATCGCTTGCCTAGCAAGTGCAACGTCCTGGGTTCGATCCCCAGTACCAAAAAAGAAAAGACAAAAAAAAATACAGTTTAAAAAAAAAAAGAAATGTACTCATTATCTTGCCCATGTAATTGTAACCCCTCTGTACAGTATCTTCACAATAAAAATAAATAAATAAAAAGAAAAGGCCAACCGAGATTTGAAAGGTCAACAAAGCAAGTTCACCTTTTAACTTATTACTGATACTACTGCACGAGTTATCGTTATTACTATTGGAAAGAGGGTCTGACTAGTGGAGGTTGGCCTCAAGATCAGCTTTCTCTCACCTGAGCCGCCCAGTGCTGCGGCTCCACGCTCGCATTACCTATCCCTGCCTAGAACTTCACCTCCTGGTAGTGTGTGCTGCTGGTGCAGTGAACACCGCCCTGGGATTCTGGGTAATAAATAATACTCTGTACTGCTCCTTGAGTTTCTACAACCTACTTTGGATCATCTTGGAATGCTTTCTGCGCAATGCCCTTGTGGTTGGTAGACAGGCTCAGTGACTCACGTGTGAGACTCAGCCCTCTGCACGCAGTGGCAATGTGACACACCATTGTAGCCTCTGCTCACCGCCATCATCGCTCACTGCATTGCTCCGAGCTCTCTCTCCTCCTCACGGTGAAGGGACTGGGACCTAAACATCAGGCACTTCACACCTTCCTCGTGAGACTGCACACCTCGACGTGTGACTTCACTCATACTTACCTTCCTGGACCCAACCTTGCATGCCTGGGCCTCTGACAGCCCCCATCCCACCGTCACAGTCTTCCCATGCGCACGAGAAGAAAGCACCACCAGCCTTAGTGGAGCTACCCTAAGAAAAGGCGGCCTTCCCTGAAGGTTCAGTGTGCGCCATCTCCCCAAGGGCCACGGCGGGGCACCAGGCCCCTGAGACAGAGCATCGGTGCTGTGCGCAGATGTTCCCAGAGCCTCACCCCAGCCGTCCACCGTCACCGCTCGGTGCCCAACCACGCAGGAGCGGCCCTTTAAAGAACGCTCCCCCCCGCCCCCCTCCCGCCGCCCACGTGCCCTGCGGTTTCCCGGCGCTCGGCGGAGCGCCTCGGCCGACGTCAGGCCGCCCGGCTCCTGGGCTGACGCCCCGGCTCCTGGGCTGACCACAGGGGTGGGCGGGGCCGAGGCCCACACACCCCGGGCCTCTTCGCCGAGATGGGATGGACGGCACCGGGGGTCGAGGTGCGGGGCCAGGATCTCGGGGAAGCAGCCGGGCTTCATCCCGGGGCGGGCCCGGTGGGCCGGCGCCGGGCCACGTCCGTCGGTGTTTAGACCCAGGGATCGGGGCCCGGGCCCCTCCTCGGGGGAAGCGGGTCTCACGGCGATCGGCCCGGCCCTCCTTGGCCTTCGGACGCTCAGCCCTGCTCAGGTCCCTCCGGCGTCGGGTGAACCGGGCTCGGCGTGTCGGGGGGGCGGGGTGCTAGGCCCGAACCCGAGAAGCCGCCACGACCCCGCCGCGCCCCGCCCCGCCCTCTCAGTGCGCCCCGCCCACCACGCCACACCCCTCCAGCAGCCCCACTCACACCCGCCACCCCTGGTCCCCGCGTCCCCCTGGCCGGGCCGCCCCACGAGTCCCGCTCCCTCCAAGTAACAGCTCCGCCGCGGCCCCCACGCCGTCCACCCCGGTTTTCCGCCCTACGCCTAGCTCCGTCCAGGACCCCGCCCCCCGATACTTCCCCCCAATTGGTCCACCCCGGAAAGCCCGCCCACGTCAATCACCTTAGCACCGCCCAGTCCCCCTCCTTCCGGCCCGCGTGGGGGCGGAGGGTCGGGGGCGGAGCCAGCCTTACCCGGAATGAAAACAAACGGCGGCCCCAGCATCCGGGCGCTCGGCCGGGCGTAGCTGGCGCAGCTGTTGCGCAGGTGAGGTGGCGGCGACCGGCGTCTGCGACTCCGGTCCGTTCCGCGTCACTTCCCGACGACTCCGGTCCGCTTCGCGACCCCGGTCTCCTCAGCGTCGCCTCCTGACGACTCGGACCCGGGCGCGACCCGACACGTCCTTCGTCCGGGCGGCGAGGTGAGAGGCGGGGCCTGGGGCGCCGGGCCGGGACCTGGGATGGGGGAGGGGGCCGGGCCGGGCCGGGCCGGGCCGGACGGGACCAGGGAGGGGGGAGGGAGAGGGGAGGGGGCCGGGCCGGGCCGGACCGGGCCGGACGGGACCTGGGGAGGGGGGAAGGGAAGGAGGAGAGGTCCGGCCGAGTCGGGTGGGACGGGATCTAGGATAGGGGGAGGGAAGGGTGGAAGGGGCCCAGGCCGGGCCGGGCCGGACGGGACCTGGGGAGGGGGGGAGAGCGGACCGGGCTGGGCCGGGAGGGCTGGGATCTGGGAAGGGGGGAGAGCGGGCGGGCGGAGCCGGGCCGTAGGGGATCTGGGAAGGGGAAAAGCGGGCGGGCCGGGCCGGGCCGGACGGGACCTGGGGAGGGGGGGCGGGCGGGCCGGGAGGGCTGGGACCGGGCATTTACGCAAGGCCGAGCGCGTGATTGTGGGGGACCCGCGGGGGTACATGTGCGCTTGTGTAATGCCAAGTGACACCGCAGATACCTAAACACCATTCGGGGCTTCTTGTCAAAACCAGAGAACCTTGAGGATCTGAGCCTCGTGTCTCAGCTTCTTCTCTTGCTCTTATCTTTAGTACAAGAATCTGTTTGTTTGTTTTTAGTCCGTTGTGGGGCTTGAGCTCAGAGCCTGAGCCCTTAGCATCTTCTGCCGGAGGCCGACATCCTAGCACTTGAGCCAGACATCTACTTCCAGCTTGGTGTTTGCTATTTGGAGATAAGAATCTCCTGGGATTTTCTGTCTGAACTGGCTTTAAATCTCAGTCCTGAGATCTTCTCAGCCTCCTGCGTCCCCAAGATGATAGGAATATGCACCAGGGGATGGCATGAAAAGCTAGTGCTCTTAAGAGCTGTTCTGCTTTGCTGTGAGAAGTTAAGCTCAAAAGCTGGGATTCTTTCATGGGTTCAGAGATAGTGTCCTCCTGTGTGCTTATACTCTCCTCCTCCTTCCCATTCTGATCACCTCTTTCTTATCCTAAACTAGCATAAAACAGATTTTAACTTATTAATTGCCAGTCCTGGGGCTTGAACTCAGGGCCTTGGGCACGTCCCTGATCTGCTTTTATTCAAGGCTAGCACTCTACCACTTGAGCCACAGCACCACTTCCAGATTTTTCTGTGTCTGTGGTACTGAGGAATTGAACCCAGGGCTTCATGCATGCTAGGCAAGCACTTTACCATTAAACCACATTCCCATCCCAACTTCCTTTTTAAAAATACACATTTGTGGAGTACATTTAAGCCACCAATTTGATTTACAAATCAAGTGAATTGGATTTGGGAAGAGTACTGGCCCTCAATAGGGAAAAAAATGTCCTGGGTATGGTGGCTCATGCATGTAATCCTAGCTACTCAAGAGGCTGAAATCTGAGGATTGAGGTTTGAAGCCAGCCTGGCCAGGAAATGTCTATGAGACTCTTGTCTCCAATAAACCACCAAAAAGCTAGAAGTGGAGCTGTGGCTCAACTGGTAGAGCACTAACCTTGAGCAAAAAACTGAGGGACAGTGCCCAGGCCCTAAAATCAAGTCGTAGGACTACCCCCACAGGGAGAGGGGGTGAAGGAAAGAGGGAGGGAGAGAAGTGGGACTCATCTGATACTGACACTCATAGTCCTAGCTACTCCTTATCCCCACTCATCAGCAAAAGCCAGAGTTGAGGCTCAAGTGGTAGGTAGAACATCTGCCAGGAGCTCAAGGCCCTGAGATCAAGCTTCAGTACCTACAAAAAAGAAAAAAAAAAGTAAGCCAGGTGCTTGTGGCTCATTCCTGTAATCCTAGTGACTCAGGAAGCTGATATCTGAGGGTCGTGGTTCAAAGCCAGTCTTGTCAGGAAACTCCCTAAGACTTTTATTTCCAAAAAAATGTGCAGGTGGCAGTGTCTCAAGTGGTAGAGTGCTAGCCTTGAGCAGAAAGAAGCTCAGGGATCGCCTAGGGTTCAAGCCCTAGGAATGGAAAAAAAAAAAACAACAACTTGGGGTACTGTTCAGTGGTAGAGCACTTGCTTAGCATGTATAAAGCCCTAGGTTCTATCCCCAACACCAAACTTTTAAAAAATGGGGTAGAATAATATTTTACTGCATAGCAGCAACTTTAAAGAATACTATATAATTGGATACATGATAAATATTTCTTTTTTTAATTTTTTGGTTGTGGGACTTGAACTCTTGGCCTGGGTGCTGTCCCTCAGCTCTTCAGCTTAAGGCTAGCACTCTACAACTTTGAGCTACAGCACCACTTCTGGTTTTCTGGAGTTAATTGGAGATAAGAGTCTCAGAGCCAGTGGCTCACACCTGTAATCCTAGCTACTCAGGAGGCTGAGATCTGAGGATTGTGGTTCAAAGCCAGCTTGGGCAGGAAAGTCCGTGAGACTCTTATCTCCAATAAACCACTAGAAAACTGGAAGTGGTGCTGTAGCTCAAGTGGTAGAGTGCTTACCTTGAGCTGAAGAGCGGTAGAGTGCTCACCTTGAGCTGAAGAGCGCAGGGACAGTGCCCAAGCCCAGAGTTCAAGTCCCATGACCGACCAAAAGAAAGAAAAAGAAAAGAAAAAAAGTCTCATGGACTTTCCTGCCTGGGCTGGCTTTTGAACATGATTCTCAGATCTCAGCCTCCTGAGTAGCTAAGATTATAGGTGTGAGCCGCTGGCACCCAGCCTCATAATAAATATTTCTATGTATATCCTTTTCTAACTGGTTAAAACCTTATCTTAAACAGTGTGTGTGTGTGTGTGTGTGTGTGTGTGTGTGTGTGTGTGTGTGTAAAGTTTTGGTTATTCTACAAAAGACTTCAACGTGTTAGGTAAGTGCTACAACATTTTTAAATGAATGTGGGATTTTATTGATACATGATTTTACTTTCAAGAATGGCACAGAAGAAATATCTTCAAGCAAAATTGACCCAGTTTTTAAGGGAAGACAGGATTCAACTTTGGAAACCTCCTTATACAGATGAGAATAAGGAAGTTGGCTTGGCATTAAAGGTATTTTCCTTTAAAGACATAAAATATTTGTTTATGTTATAAGTCTCCTTGATAAATAAGATTCTGAAATCACCAGAAAATTTCAGGCATGTCCTTGTAGGTAGCACCAAAAAGCACTGGTACTGAGATAGGACAAACTGAGTTTTACTTGTTCTGTGTATTTACCTTTTTCTTTCTGGCTGTTCTGGGGATTGAAGTCAGGGCTTTATGTGAGGCCCTGAATTGCACCCCTAGCCCTTTGACAGTTTCATTCCTAGGAATGTTATCTGATTTCTTGGGACTTTTATCAAAGTTTTCCTTCACCAGGTCCCAGTAATACCTATGTGTCTTCTTCTAAGGCCTCACCTCCAGTGGTGCCACCCAGAGACCATGCCTTTATCATATGAACCTTTGAAGCTCACTGCTTCTATTCAAACCCTCCCATAAAATGGTCTGGGATCTGATTTTGTGTTGCCCTGCAGCAGGAAGAGCAGCATGGCAGAGCTGCGTTTCGAGATGGGATACTGTTGGGTGCCTTTCAGTCCTTGCTGTCTTCACTGTGGAACTGTTGCTCTTCTCCCCCAGGCTTTTTGCACTGTGTCCCATCAATATTCATTTTTCCAGCATACAACCTGATAACAGTGTGTCTTATGTATTGATAAAAATACTGTTCTATATGATATTTCAAGGAACTGAAATTTTCCTCTGTGTGTGTGTGTACGCGCGCGTGTGGTCCTGAAACTTGAACTCAGGGCCTGGGCAATGTCCCTGAGATTTTTTTTTTTTTGCTCAAGACTAGTTCTCTACTACTTGAGCCACAGCTGCACTTCTGGGGGGTTTTTTTGGTGGTTAATTGGGGATAAAAGTCTCAAGGACTTTCATACCTTGGCTGGCTTTGAACCAGAATTCTCAGATCTCAGCTTCTGGAGTAGTTAGGATTATAGGCGTGTCTATAGGCGCCCTGCCTTTCTAAAAAAAGAAATTTTACATGTTCTTGACAGAGCTCTTCTCGATTAGAACATCCCAGTACATTCTTTGCTTTCTCAGTCTGTGTTTCCTGAACATGAGGCAATGTTTTACCAGCACAGTAAATTTTTTTTTTATTGTGAAAATACTGTACAGAGGGGTTACAATTACATGGGCAAGTAGCACAGTAAATTGTAAATAGGGCATTAACTTGTTTTGAAGGTGACATAAATCAGGAGGTGACTTGTGTGTCTCTCCTGCCACTAGAAACAGGTTTCACTTTTTTTTTTTTTTTTTTGGAACCCACTTTCTGAACTTCCATGTTCGGTTTCTTGTCTCAGAAGGTGGTTATAGAATTAAAAAGACCTAATTTTCTCCCCTCACCCAGTTCCTGGAAGAGTGGTAAGGATGAAGAAGCATCTTTTTTCTAGTAAGACTTAGTGGTCCATTCACAGCTCCAGAGCAGGGCTGCTTGCCTTCATTAGAAGCCAGCAGCTAAGCCAGGCGCTGGTGGCTCACACCTGTATTCCTAGGTACTCAGGAGGCTGACATCTGAGGATCACAGTTCAAAGCCAGCCCGGGAAGGAAAACCCATAAGACTCTTTTTTTTTTTTTTT